ATTTTGCTTTTGTTATGACCCTATTTCTATTTTTTAAAATTTAAACTTAACACCATTTTCATCAGGTCTGTTATATATTCCCTTTTTTAAAAATATAATTTGCCTTTCAGTCCCTCAATTATCTCATTTTTCACAACTACCAAACTCCCTGAATTGTTTTTCCCTTCAAAAATTCTATCTACACAATCCTTCCTCCTTTCCCTTTGAGTGTATTAAAGTCGTCAGTTTTGAAATATGCTTAGAAATAATTTGTATTTTTGAAAGGTGTGTATAAAAATAATAGTTGCATCAAAAACAAAGTTGCATTGGAGACATTTAGATAACTTCAGCATTCAAAGAAATCTTAAAGTCGTTTACAGTTAAAATAAAGCAGGCTATAAATGAAGGGAAAAAAACGCTATGAAATTGTGATATGAAAGTTTTAGGAATAATTTACTTTAACAGTTGCCTATATTAGGGGAAATGGTATGCAGTGGAAGGAAAAGTAGAGAACAAAAGTGGATGTGGGTATATTTACAGGTAAAGGACGCGGTGACTCAGTGGCTAAGATGCTGAACTTGTTGATCAGAAAGGTTGACGGTTTGAATCCCATTGCCGCGTAACGGAGTGAGCTCCTGTTACTTGTCCCAGCTTCAAGTAGATGCAAGTAGAAAAATAGGAACCACTTTGGTGGGAAGGTAACAGCGTTCCGTGAAACTTCAGCATTTAGTCATGCTGGCCACATGACCACTGAGACATCTTCAGACAGTGCTGGCACTTCAGCTTTGAAACAGAGATGAGCACCGTCCCCTAGAGTTGGAAATGACTAGCACATATGTGCGAGGGGAACCTTTACCTTTATGCAGTAGAACGAAAAGTAGAGAACAAAAATGGATGTGGGTATATTTATAGGTGGCCTTTGTAAAGGATCATATACAAACCCAAGCAATTCAAATACCGCTCCATGTAAACAACAATGTAAACAATAAAAAATGCCTGCCAAAAAATTGATCTGGGATAAATAAAGAATGAAATGCAAACCCAGAAGCCTTTGTGGTACAGAAAGATGTGGTACCATGAACCTCTATACGTGTTGTCTGTATGTGTGGTGACTTTCCTCCATATGAGAATTTTGATGTGTGGCAGTAAGGTTAGAAGCTTCATCTACCCCTGTATACATAAACAATAGTTGTTGTTCCAGTTACTGATTCTAGTGACTGCTTTGAACAGGAGCATTTGGAAGCTAACACATCTGTAGATGTTTTAAATCATAAGGCCATCTACACTATTCTGTTTTTTCAAGTGTTGGCATATGAAGTTCTTTGTCTTTCCAGGCCCACCTGTACGGGAACACAGAAATCAAAAACAGGAGTGACTCTCAAATTTCACCTCCATTTAATCCATCACAGAATGCATGGCTTTCTTTTCTCTTTTCTTTTTGGTGTTGGTTTTTTTTTTTTCGCTCTATAAAGAAAAAAAAAATGCAAGGACATTTAAACAAAGTGACACAGATCATCAGCAGATCAACTGAAAATGACAGCTCAATCAAACAAATGTATGTTGAGAATTTCCACAGGGCGGCTTTAGCTGCAGCCAAACCAAATTTGTTTAGTATACATCAGTTAGCTGCTTAGAAACATTCAACAGAGATGCTAGCCAGATGATGACTCTTCTAGACAAACATGTATTTAACTGAGTATCTCCATCCATGACTATGTTAGCATTTGGATACATATGATGCTTTTTCTTCAAAATATGGCAGCATTTCTAAAGCAGCCAGGACTCAATTCTTCTATACGGTATTTACGCAAAAATTAAAGGCTTGCTGCAAATAAGAGGGCTTATAAAACATGGAAACTTCCCTGCATCAATTTTCTGTGCACTTTTCTTATTCTGCTGTTATTATTAACACTAGCATATTTGTATGGCTAATTCAAATATTTGCGTGTATAGATATAGATCCTTGACCACATCTCAGCTGAACATTTCTGTTGCTAAGTGAGACATTGGTTAAGCGGTTCCACCACAAAATCGCGGAGGACAAAATCGCGCTCGACGAAAGCGCGCATTTGANTCTTTCTTTCTTTCTTTCTTTCTTTCTTTCTTTCTTTCTGCCTCTGTTGTGTGTAATTCAAGAATTCTTATCACTGATAAGTGTACACGAATACCAAGACTAGCTGGGTTGCAGTTTATATTTTTGTGCTCTTACCTACATTAAGGCAAAAATTTTCTTTGCATAAGAAGGAAAGCCCATCCTATATTTTTAACCTTTCTCCCATTATCCGCCTTCCAATATAATAGTGCCTTCCAATATAATAGTCTGACTATAATGAGCATAATCATTACCAACAAATGTAAACCATTCGGAACAAATATTTAAAATCAAGCAATGAAAATTGCTTTAATCACCCCATCTCCGTGAAATATTGGTATACAATCTATGCAACATTACCTAACGGTTATCTTCTTGCAAGGAGTACCAGAATATCAGGGTTGGAAGGGACGTTGGAGGTCTAGTAGGAAGAAGAGGAAGAGGAAGGGAAAACCAAAAGTTAAAAATTTGGAGCAGAATTCATTTGTTGAATGAAATATTTTACAATGTGTTTAAATAATGTCACACTCATTTGAAAGTAGAATGTTTGGAATAATGTTATTAGCAATTTACCCTGATTTTAATCTCCTAGATCCAAATTTCAAAAGTATTATTATTAATAATGACAGGAGATGGTACTACCAACTTCAACTTGAAAAAATTCAACAGCTTACTTGAGACGTCCACTAAAGAAATCCATTATTTTCCTGTAACGAAATATCTTGAAAATATATGTTTCTACTCTATCATACCCTTCATTTTTATTATTATGCATGTTAAATGAATTTGTAATCACCACATTATTTTATAGCTTGTAAGCTGCCAGATTTGTTTTAAATAAGAGTGTCTTTTTAGAGTAGCAAAACATTTGGATTTTTTAAAACAGCAGGGTTGGCTCTGACTCTGAAGGCTGACAGGACTATTGACATCATGCTACTGACTGGAAAATATATTTTACCCAGAATTCCTCCTCTTCTTAAGAGTAAATTTTTCAATCTCATAATCACCTTCAAGCTTAACTGATATTGAAACAAATCCTGCTATGCCGCTATGATTCTGAATAGGAAGTAACAGTTTATTTAAAGAAGTATAGATTTCTGAGGTCAAAAATGTTTTTTTTTTCTTCAGCAGGCACATTGCTGGCATTAAAACTTCTTAAATGGTAAAATGGAGAGGTTTAAAAATTTCCGCAGGCTATGGGGAAATTATTCCTTCTTGATTCAGCCACTTGGAGCTACAGTATGTTGCTGCAAAGTCAACAAAGTTAGGAAAAACCTTGAATTAATAATAGTTTTTAGAATAATTTTGGAGTGACAAGTTATTTTTATCTATTCATTCTAGTTGCTGAAGAAAGAAAGGAAGAAAGGGAGGGAGGAAAACAAATTTGGTATATTATGTAAAATTTATTTTATTTCTGCATGGTATGAGAAGGAGCATACAAAGTACAGGTAGTCCTCAAGTTACAACCACAACTATTGCTAAGTAAGACATTTGTTAAGAGAGTTTTGTCCCATTTTACAACCTTTCTTGCCAAAATTGTTACGTGAATCATCACGCTTGTTAAATTAGTAACACAGTTGTTAAGTGAACCTCCATTGACTGGTTCCACCACAAAACCGCATTCGACTAAAGGGCGCTCGACGAAACCGCGTAGCTGACGTCATCACAGCGNGAAAAATATTTCAACTGGATGCTGGACTTTTGTGCTGTTTATCAATTTCAGGCTAGTACATTTGATGTCACTGTTAGCACAGCAACTGACTCTTCCAAAACTAGATTCAAGGAGCAACTCTTATCGTTTTCTCATAGCTGTGTTGTTGTTAGTTGCGAAGTCGTGTCTGACCCATCGCGACCCCATGGAAAACGTTCCTCTAGGCCTTCCTGTCCTCTATCATCCTCTGGAATCTATTTCAGCTCACACCTACTGCTTCAGTGACTCCATCCAGCCATCTCATTCTCTCTTGTCCCCTTCTTCTTTTGCCCTCAATCGTTCCCAGCATTAGGCTCTTCTTCAGTGAGCCCTTCCTTCTCATTAGCTGGCTAAAGATTTAGGTTTCATCTTCAGGATCTGGCTTTCTAAAGAGCAGTCAGGGTTGATCTCCTCTAGGACTGACCGGTTTGATCGCCTTTCAGTCTAAGAGACTCACAGGCGTCTTCTCCAGCACCATAGTTCAAGGACCTCAATTCTTTGGCGCTCAGCCTTTCTTGTACTCCAACTTTCACAGCCATACATTGCAACTGGGGAAACCATAGCCTTGATTATACAACCTTTTGTTTGCAGGGTGTACTATCATCTAATTTTAGAGCTGCCCTGTCCCCATTCCTATTCTGAAGGTCATGTTGGGAAAACAAAAAATCAGTATACATATTGGATTATACTATAGACATCTGAAGACCTTCTGAAATAGGCATTTGCAATGGCAACTCCTAAGCTTTGGAGTTCCCACTTCATGAAAATCTTTAATTTTTCTCTTCTGGATTTCAAGAGGGCACTTCAGACTTGGTTATCCCCTCAAGTACAAGAAGAGATATTTTGATTTAACATATTTTGGTACATTATTTAATGATCATTTTGATACTATGTTTAGGTTTTTTTTTAGGAGGGGTGGTGGATTTGGAGTGTGCAAAATGAAAATAAATTCCAGATACAAAACTCCAGTGAACGCTCCCTTAGACATTTTTTATAACTGCTCTTCCAGGTGAAAAGAAACAGATGATCCATTTTCTTTCTCCCTTATCTTTCTGATAGTATTTTCTTCCTGTTCCAGCGAAATGATTCAAAAGCAGTCAGATGAATAAACCTCTGAACAGTTTTGAAGACTTTGTTTTAATACTGTACTAGTTCCAAGCCTTCTTGGATAGTAAAGTAATTATCATAAATACTTTGGCAGAGTTCAGTATCATCTAAGCTATGGTTTTGTTTAACACGATGTATTGGATAAACCAGTATTGGCAGGCTTTACGCAATATGGTAAGCACACACAAACAAAATACGTTATGGCTTAGCTAGACAAATAAAAATATAAGTAAGTAAGCTACTGTTTACACAGTAATTGAATTCAGTGGTATTTCTTTCCAAATAAAATGTGATCTGGCTTATACAGGCTAATGTTGCTCTATGCCTGGAGCTACTGTGCTGCATTGAAAGGAAAAGACATTGATCAATCCCCAGAATAAGGCTGTTTGACCCCCACCAATGAAAATTGTGACATTTTAAAATTTATGATAACAGGCGCTTAGACTGATCTGGAATTTCTGAAAGGTAGTCACAAATGTGTTAGTATAGGTGAAACACCCCAATACTTACCGTGTATCAAGACTAAACAGAACATTAGAAACCAATTTTCCATGTTCCCCAAGATCTACCACAGGCAAGAAGTTTCATCTTATTTTGTATTTGCATCCTGCTTTTATTATTCTTACAAATAACATATCCAACATACCTTCCTTCTCCTATTTTCCCCACAGTAAAATCTCCCATGAGGTGGGTTGGGCTGAGAGTGACTGGTCCAAAGTCATCCAACTGGCTTTCATGGCTATGGTAGAACTAGAATTCACAGTCACCAGCTTTCTAGCCTGGTGCCTTAACCACTAGACCAGGGGTCTCCAACCTTGGCAACGTTAAGACTTGTGGACTTCAACTTTCAGAATTCCTTAGCTCCCAGAATTCCTCAGCTTCGCTGGCTATTATTTATTATGCTAAGAGCGTCATGTATCTATTAGGAACAAGCACAAATGATTTACTCCAAAGCAGTGTAACAAACATTTGTGTAATTTACTGAAAGAGAGTGGGTGTATTGCAATGTTTCTGTCCCTTTTCTCATTCTCCAACTTGTGTGTCTTCACCTTTTTAGAAACTGTGTTCTTCCTTAAGAAAAGTGAGTGATCTAGTCATTTCATTCCTGACTAAGTGCACTTTGCTCTATTATGGTGCAACACTTGTTTTTTGACACTATTATATCCTGGCATGTGAAACATCTCCTGTGGTTTACCATGCTCATCAAGGATGAAGACCTCCTTCTGTTTCCTCATTATGTCAAATGACAAAATGTGGAAATAATTCTAATCCTTTCTTCTGCTTCTGTGATATCCTAGAAAACACGATAAACTGAATCCAATTAAAATTAGTTGCTGCTGCAATGCTCCGTTTTATTCTTTTGACTTTAGTTAAGTTGTTATTTTAGACTTTACTGTCTTTTGGGGAAAAATAAATGTTTTTAAGTGCAACTTTTGTTTAAACGGGAAAATAACACATTACTTTTGCAATATTCCCAGTATTACTTTCTGATATTCCAGTTTAAAGTGCCTGGACACTGCTAATGATTAATTTTAATAAATGCTGATGAAAAACAATGAGGGATAATAAAGTTTAATTTACAATATAATGTTCTACAATTCAGTTGGTCAAAACATTAGGAATGAAGCCAATTGTATCCTATCATTATTGGTACAATTATATTTTGTTTTGGCTTTTGGATTGCCAATGTGGCTTAGGCTGTTAGTTTTGGATATTGATTGGAATTGCTTTATGTCATAGCAAGTCAGGCTGCAACATTGATGAATCAATCAGAGGTGTATCTTAGATTTTTGGAGCTATCTCATCCACATGGACATAACACACCCTTACCCCTCCCCCAATCCCTACTCAGAGATAATACTTTTGCCAAGGGTATGTATGGGTGCATTTAGAATGATTTGAATACAAAAATTAAAATAAAAGATTATGTGGTATAAAAGTGTTAAATGAAATGATAGTAACATAGTTACATCTATGTAAGTAATAGTAAATAGTATATAGACCTTTTCTTTCTTGTAGTTTCATGCAATCCATTTCAATATCTACTAATATATTACTAGATTAATATCTACTAATATATTACTCTTTAAACATTCCCTTTTCTGGATTTCTGTCTTCAGGTAGCATACAAGTTTAAATTTAAGTTTAAATAATACAGTAACTAGCTGATAACCTGGTGTTGCCTGGGTATTTATTTATAAGGGGAAAATGTCTGGAGCAAACATAATTTCTAATGTTGAATTTTCCCCCTTACCAGAGGGAGCCCCCTTGTGGAGTACTGTGAAGCCGTTACCATGGGTACACCACTGCGCTGTACTGTAGAAGTCATTTTATGGCAGTACGGTAGAAGCCATTTAAAGGCACAACAGGCTGCATCTTAACACAACATACACTCTGAGGGGTGTTAGGGGTGTNGATATATCACGTGATGCCGCCATAACAACATGAGTTTAACACCCTTGATATAGAGCATTTCTACTAAAATATTATTTTTACCTTGTTAATCTGTCTGAATGCCTGTTTGGAAAAGAATATAATTTGTGTTCGGTCATTTTTCTGATCCAGGAATAGTCAACTGGCATCCAATTTCATCCGTATTTCAGGGTAGAATAGGGAGGCATTATTCTTACTGCAGGAATACATGTTCAGGAATATATGCTCTTTGGTTATTCATAGACCTTGATGACAAGGCCACAGAGAGGTTAAGCACAATTGGATTGCCTGCTAGGTGGCTACATCTGCTTAACAACCTGATAAGAGCCAAGGTGGCACAGTGGTTAGAATGAAGTACTACAGGCTACTTCATCTGACTGCTAGCTTCAGTTCAGTAGTTCAAATCTCACCAGGCTCAAGGTTGACTCAGCCTTCCATCCTTCCAAAGTGAGTAAAATGAGGATCCAGATTGTTGGGGGAAATATGCTGACTCTTTAAATGGCTTAGCGCTATGAAGTGGTATATAAGTTTAAGTGCTATTGCTAATAAAAAGTGCTATAGTTTAAAGAGGATAGTAACTTTTAAGTGAATCTTACCATGGATGTCTATCAATGATTCGCTCTCTCCCCACCTGCCATAAGCCAAAGATCACAAATAAATTTGAATATTTATGGGTAATTGTATTTTAAAAAAAAAAAATCTAATTCAGATATATTATAAAGTAGAATCCTAACCATTGACTATCAATATTATCGCATCAAATATTTTCAAGTCCTAAGATTGTAGCTTGTTACCCATTGTCCTGTCAACAGGGAAGCCTAGCCAAGGGAAACCAGTTGGTTTCCCTTGTATCATATGTGTATTTGAAAATACCATTTTGAAGCCTGTCACCTGTTATTAGAAATATCTGCATTCTTTTAACTTTGGGATAATGGTATACCAATATTTTTTTATGTGTCTGAATAGCCATTCAATACATTAATGTATCACTTGTTTATTCTATATGTTTCACATCTAAAATATTACACTTATTTATAACTTGCTAATGGAGTATGACTCAGAAACTGAACAAGTCAAAGATTTTATTATTAAACGGATGGTTATCAAGTGGACATAGAATATAGACTGGAGAATTGTTATATAACACTGGAAAAACTAATGGAAGATAAATATTACATTTATTGTAAATATTACACTATGAGAAAATTGCTCCAATTTTTTTAATGATATATTATGCTATAACAAATTAGCAAAATAGATAATCTATGCTAACAAAGAATGTGCTGAAAATACAAAAATACAATAATCAGAATTGGGTTATTTTTAAATATATAGTGGCAATTTTATAACACTCAACAATTCTGAATGACAATTCATCATAAAATGAATACATACAATACAGACTTCCTGCCCTATGTTTTTATGTTATGTGTTAATTACTTGTAGTGCATAGTGGTTAGAATGCAACATTGCATGCTGATTCTGCTCACTGCTAGGAGCTCAATTCTGATGGGCTCAAGGTTGACTCAGCCTTCCAAGATCGGTAAAATGAGGACCTAGATTGTTGGGGGAAATAATCTGTAAAAGGCTTAGAGAAGGTTGTACAGCACTATGAAGTGATATATAAGTCTAAGTGATATTGCTATTAAACAATTTGCATTACAAATTGTATATTCTGAGTATAATTCTTACCATATTGTCCATCTTTGCTAATTATTGAATATTGATTCAGTTTTAATAATTGTTTTAAAATGCTAAATTATATGAAGTCATCTTTATATGAAATTATATGAAGTCATCTTTATATCTAATGTCACCTCTTTTTTCTTGGTTGTGCTTTCAAATACCGGTTATGATAAAAGTCATGTATGAAATAGTAACTGAATGCATAAAAATAAAGAATAGGATTTTGGATAGCCAGTTGTCTGAAACGGTATAGGGTTTCCTGCCTAGGCAGGGGGTTGGACTAGAAGACCTCCAAGGTCCCTTCCAACTCTGCTATTATATCGTATGGAACTTCCAAGAATAATTCATACCTATAGTGGGGATGATTAGACAAAATTGACCTTCTGTCACTTTAGTAAATGTGAGAATAGAATTACTTAGAATTATTATAGCATTTGGTAGAGGTGTAAACAATATATTTAACTTACTAATGAATATTGAGATTAGTACATCACATTAAAAATGAGTAAGGATGAATCATTTGAAGCAACCAACTCAGATTGCTAGTGGTATTTATCATGTTTGCTGTTCCTAATGAGAGTCTATTGAAAACTTAACTTTGGCAGGAATCATCGGAATGAGAAAAAAAATGTACGAAAGAATCGAATCTCTCATCTGTTTGATGGCTTGTAACTTTCTTTCGTATCCTAATTATTATATATTACAGTTGGATTGTAATATATTTTGCTTTGCTACTAGTTTTCTAGACTAGGGCAAAACATCAAGCCCTTCTCACAGCCAACCCTCGAATTATAAATTATAGTGATGTGTAAACAGCAGAAGCAAAACATAATATGTATATACACGTTCAAAGGCTAATTGAAACCCCCTGGGTCATACTGACATATTGAACTAAGTTCCCTGATGCATGATTTAGATCTTTTTATTTTTCAGTGAAAGAGTTGGACTAAATATTTTGTCTCTGATTACACAGATTACAGGAAATATGGTACTCCTGATGGGATGGGAGGACTAGTTTTTTTTTTTTTACTGTCCTTCTAGCTAATCAAGTTCCCAAACACTCCTCCTTTCTCAGTACTTAAATGTTGGTTTGGGGAGGGCTTGGCTAGAGTACAGAATTAATGGGAAAGCTTCCTTGTTGCCTTTGGAGAATTATAGTGGGAAGAGAAATTGGGGCTAGGGTAAGAGAACCAGTCCAGGAAAATACACATTGTCTTTTTTTGCTGTACACTAAACTGTTCTTGGAGAAGAGAGGCTCTGGAGGCCTCCGCACGCAGTCAAACTCATTACACGCATGAAAACAAAACAAAGCAATGGTTGCTGAAGGGAAATGACACCGGGCACCCTCATCATTTTCCCTTTCTCCTGCTTTGTATTTGCAACTCACCACTTGCTCTTCTCCCTTCCAGGTAGCTGCTCTTTTATTCCCGCATCTTTTTCCTCTTAGTTTTTGATATGCAGCAAGGCGACCCACAGTCACAGCTAGCATTTTCCTTTCTCAAAAAATCCTGAGGGAAATGGGAAATGAAGGCATTTCAGGGAGTGGTGCATACAAAACATCTTTCCCAGTTCCCCTCCCCTTAGTACTGGAGAAGGGGAAGATGTTTTCTATCATGGTCTTGAAGTTTGGCAAGCATAATGCAGGCTGAGATAGGCAGCCATTTATCCTCTCGTTGGGTTCTCGCCTCTTTCCATCTTCATGCTTCTCGTGCTGTGTTGTTTCAAGATGTGAAGCAAGAATAGAGCTGGTAGATAAACAGGCAGATAATTGAACATAGGATGAGTCCAATGGCCTATTAGCTCAGCATTCTGTTCCATATGGANCCTAACCCTAAACCTAACCCTAAACCTAACCCTTACCTTAACTTGAATCGGCTTGCTTTCAAAGCGCTATTTAAAGCACCCGCACCCTTCTTTCTCCGCGCTCGCTGTTGTCGCCCTGTTGATGACGTCAGTGATGCGGTTTAATCGGGCACGCTTTAGTCGAGCTCGGTTTTGTCGTGCCACGCCATTGACTTTGCTTGTCAGTGTCCCTGGGACACTGCAACCGTCATAAACACAAACCAGTTGGCAAACATCCAAATTTCGATCACGTGACCATGGGGATAAAGCAATGGTTAAAAGTTAGAAAAATGGTCATAAGACACATTTTTCATTGCCATTGTAACTCCAAATGATCCATGAAATGAGCTGCTGTAAGACATGGACTACCTTTATTACCACAGATCCCCAAGGCTGGAGATTCTATCAAGATTTCACAAGGCATTTGGCCATGTGCTATTTGAAAGGGTCCCTTCTTTCAGTGTTACTCAACCTCACCTGGATGCTGACTGGGGGAATTCTGGGAATTGCAGTCCACCCGTCTCTAAAGTTGCTGAGGTTGAGAAACAGAGCAGGCTGGTGTAAACATTGCCCAGAATTCTGCAATATGAAATTCACACATCTAAGGGAGGTTGCATATATATAATCTAGCGATCTCCCTCGGATAGCATGAACAACATTCATTTCTCTTTTAATCATCTTTTTTTCTTTTTAACTATTTGAGCCACCCAGTCATTTTGCAACCAGGTGGCAAATCTACGTCTAATATTAATAAAAACAAACAAACAGACAAACAAACAAACAAATAGGAAGGAACTGTACATAATATAAGGATCAGAAGAGAGCTTTTTTTTTTTTTAAACTGAGCCCACATAAGAGTCAGGTTACAGTTCGAATATTGGATAGAAAGCTTAGAATCTTAAAAGATAAGATGAAACATTGCTTTAAAAACAGAGCAAGAAGGAGGAAAACTTAAACTCGAAATGCTGGGCGTTGCGCTGTAGCCTGAATTTTGCACTTAGCTCAGCATGCTTATTGAAGGGTTAGAAAAAGACAACCTTGAACTTTCCCTCAAATGGCACTTAGCTGTTAACCACAAGCATATTTCTCTATTTAGCTTATTAGCTCCTGCAGCCGAAGGTGAAGGGGGCACTGGCTGCTTTAAATTCTCCAATTCTCTCTCTCTTCCGCTCTTTCACTCTCCCATATATTCTCTCCCCCTCTCTCTCCTTACCCCACCCACCCACACTCACACTTAAATGGTCTGATGCAAACTTTTACAGCTTTAGGAATGGAAAAGGATGCTAAACGCTGAAGCATTTCTCCAAGTGGAAGGAAGGAAGTCTCCCTCCTCCTTACATTCCACACAGAAGCCCAGGTTACTGTTTAAACTGACCCCATACTCTGCGAGGTTAAAACACGGGCATTACCCCTGGCACACAGCTGCTCTATCACCTTCATCAGGTACATCCCCGCGCTTGCCCCGTGCATTTTTGCCTGCCAACACAACACGTTTGTGCCGAATGCTCACACAACAGTGTCCACCCTGGCCTTTCAGTAGCAATTAACCTTTCCTCCAGGGCTTCCTTTGATGCTGGCGGGTGTTTTTGCTGCAAAATAGCAACGAGGCTTTATATGACTTTTTTTTTTTTTAATGAAGGGAAATGTCTAAACTTCCCCGTCCCCTAATCTGTTCCCCAACTCAGACAATTGCAATTATATTATCCAGTTCCGAACAGGGACAATTTTATTATCTGGAATTCAGAACAACAATTGTGTGTGTACAACTTCCCATACTGAGGTTTTTGTGGGGCTTGTTTCGTACAGAGATAAATTATGCTGGGTGAGGAAATTAAGGGTGCTTTCCTCCCAACATCTGTTTTCATAAAGATTAGAAGATCAAGACACAAAATACCTCTAGCACCCAGGAGGATTTGCCCCTTTTACAAAACGTAGCAGGATGCTTTGAATAACAAAGAAAACTTCTCATTAACAGAGAGTTTGAAAGTACACTCTCGTCTGACCCTGTGGCACCTGGAAGATTTGGAACATATTTAGAAATGAAGTTATAATCAAATTAAACATTGAGAATTATTGCCTGGGAAACACTCTTAATGTTTTCTCATTATCCCCTGTAACTTGAACATCTTGTTTTAGCAAAAAGATAGCAATGGGATCTTTTTCCATTTAACTAAATAAAGCGCTAGTTATTTCTGTATATTGTAGACAGAAGGGTTTGTATTCCCAATCTTTTATCATCTACTTTAATATTTAGTGATAAATGATGCCAGATCCAATGAAATGCATCCAAGAAACAATACAGAGCGGGATGTGTGATGTGTATCTATAAATCCAATCTTCTTGTATATTAACTATCCTGGAATTTCTTAAGACTGTACCAATAAAGGAGAACATTTGTAGCTGAGAGTTCTTCTCCAGTACCATAGTTCAAAGGCCTCAGTTGTTTGGCGCTCAGCCTTTCTTATGGTCCATCTTTCACAGCCATACACTGCAACTGGAAAAACCATAGGGCAGACTATTTTCGTCTAATTTTTTCTTCTGCTCAACTGGCGTGTCTTTTGTTTCCTGAATCTCTTTTTTGGCTTTAAAATGATGAAATTTGGAGAAGTGTGTTCAGCTGTAGAGGACTACAAATCTATGCTCAGTTTCTGAAGTCTTTTCATCAATAGAAGTGCAATTAGTGGGCCAAATGGAAGAGGGTATTTTAATTGCAGTTCCCAGCTGAAGACTAGCTTGTCAAAACAGGTTTGTCTGGCCCCCTTGCCTATGCTTTAAAGAGTGCTGTGTTCTAGCAGGCGTTTTTGGTAAACCATTTGCATATTTATTTATTTACACATCCTTTTCCTGCTAATTTTTAAATTTGTCTTATAGTTATTTATGAGTTAGGTCATTACATGAATGTAAAACAAATAGCAACTCTGTTTATAAGATACTCTCTTAAATATAAGTATATGCTGGGAAGTATATTGCATATATCAGCTTCCAAGAGATTTATATATACAGGGGAAATATATTGAATATATTTCAAAGGGAAAGTTTTCAGGCTATGTCTTGTCAAATGCTGTGGCATGGTTGGAGTTGATTCTTCTGTACCATCTACTACATATTCATGATGTTTCTGAGAATTGGCCAATCACAAATGTCCCATCTTATTCACTGACACCAATGATTGGCTAACTCTCAGGAAAAGAATGCTTTCTACTAAGACAGGAATGAGCAATTTTGTTGGGTTGTAAAGGTTAGCCAGTGACCGCTAACCTTTTCCGCATTGAATGTCCAAACCGCGTGTGCATGAGAGTGAATGTGTGTGCTCCCCCAAATCCCCAAAATGCAATATGTGCATGGTCCCTGTGCATACGTCCCACACATGCGCACATGGGCCCCCGCATGCGTCCTGCCCCCCCGGATGCATGCACACCCCATGCATACCCTCCAGTCATGCATGCACAGCAGAGACCTGAAGACCAGCTGGCTGGCATGTGTGCACGTATGCACAGTAGAGCTAAACTGGGGTGACAGCTTGCGTGCCCAGGTTTACCATCATGGCCATAGGTTATGTTGACTATGTTAGCATGGATAATGGGATTCAATAATATCTTGACAGCCACCCATACCTACAAAACAACAATTATAAACAGTTATATAAACAAAATATGAAGGTGTTGTACAATTTTAGGGGGATAACACTAAAATTACATTTCAAGTACATCTGGTCATCTTGCTCTTGATGTTTTGAATCCTTTTCAGATGAATGTTTCTACCAGAGTTTCCCTGAAATTCCAGTAGAAGAAACTCCTGAAAATGATGGGGAGCCAAGCACTTTGTCACTCAGTATCTGTGAACGGTCTTCTCCAGCAACATCAAGTGAAGCCTTCACACCAAAGGAGGGATCTCCTTATAAAGCTCAAATATATATACCTGATGACATCCCAATTCCATCAGAGTTTGAGCTTCGAGAGTCAAATATACCTGGAGCCGGATTAGGGATATGGACAAAACAGAAGATTGAAGTAGGTGAAAGATTTGGACCATATGTAGGAGAACATCAACAAAGTCTTAAAAACACCAATAATGGATGGGAGGTAGGACAATATCTGTCATTGTAGTTTATTATCAGTTAATTATCTGTTATCAATACTCTTGTGATTTTTACTATTTATTTTATTTCTCTTCTGCCTGTCTTCCCAGAGGGAATTCTGTTTACTTTGAATCAAAAAGCCAAATTTTTACTGATAAATACAACCTTTTGCTAAAGAAAAAAACAACTTCTGGGTTACAGATTCAAATATCTCTGTTGGGCTGAATATCAGAATATAAGGAAAAGTGATCACAATGTAATTTGCTTTGACAGTTTGGGGTTTGTTTTTTGCTGATTTCTGTTGGTTTGAATTTTTCACAGGAAAAGAATGAGTTGTTATTTGAACATTTTAACCGAATGAGGATTTTGGAACAATGCATGTAACTTATAGAATGTGGTCAACTAAATGATGATTAGGAGACTGGAGGCTAAAACATATGAAGAACGGTTGCAGGAACTGGGTATGTCTAGTTTAATGGGGGAAAAAAGGACTAGGGGAGACATAGCAGTGTTCCAATATCTCAGGGTCTGCCACAAAGAAGAGGAAGTCAAGCTATTCTCCAAAGCACCTGAGGGTAGAACAAGAAGCAATGGGTGGAAACTAATCAAGGAGAGAAGCAACTTAGAACTGAGGAGAAATTTTGTGACCGTTAGAACAATTAATCAGTGGAACAACTTGCCTCCAGAAGGTGTGAATGCTCCAACACTGGAAGTTTTTAAGAAGATGTTGGATAACCATTTGTCTGTTGAGGTAGGGTTTTCTGCCTAAGCAAGGGGTTGGCCTAGAAGACCTCAAAGTCCCCTTTCAACTCTGTTATTCTATATCTTCTGTAAATATTTTTGAAAAGCCTTTAAAAAAAAGTGAATATTGATGGGGAAAAAAATCTCCAAGATACAATAGTAAGCTTAACTGCAGCACACAATAGAAAATATGTCGACTCTTTTATTTTCAGGAATTATTCAGAATTTCTTTAGCAAAAAAATGAAAGAAAAGCCATCCATTAAAATGACATCCTTGTCCTTATGCAAATAAAGATTTAGTAATCCTTTCTTCCTGCTTCAATGGCTTGTCAAGCTACAGCAGCATACCCTCAGTTGATTCATTTTTTCTCCATATCATGAATTGGCCCCAGCTACCAGCATGCTATTAGGGACATGGTGGCTCAGTGGCTAAGACACTGAGCTTATCGATCAGAAAGGTCAGCAGTTCGGCAGTTAGAATCCCTAGCGCCGTGTAATGGAATGAGCTCCTGTTACTTGTCCCAGCTTCTGCCAATCTAGCAGTTCGAAAGCATGTAAAAATGCAAGTAGAAAAATAGGAACCACTTTGGTGGGAAGGTAACAGCATTCCATGCGCCTGTTTAGTCATGCCAGCCACATGACCACGGAGAATGTATTCATACAGCACTGGCTCTTCGGCTTTGAAAGGGAGATAAGCAGCACCCCCTAGAGTCAGGAATAACTAGCACATATGTACAAGGGGAACCCTTACCTTTACTTTTACCATCATGCCATGCCTTCAAATGTAACAACCAGGCTTAACTTTGGCTTTTGATATCAGACAATCTATTTTTTAAAAAAATATCCTGAGCCACATTTAAGAGTCTCACAAAAGTTGTCTTAAAGCACCCAAATGATACTGGGTTGGGCAGCCTGGGAAGGAAGGAAGGAAGGAAGGAAGGAAGGAAGGAAGGAAGGAAGGAAGGAAGGAAGGAAGGAAGG